TGAATATTTTTTATGCGTATTTTTGTACAGAACTCTCCTCCTTCAAGATCGCCATCTTAGTATTTCTGCTCTGTACCCTCGCCTAATTGTCTGACACATTCCGAAATTCTTTTGATACCGAGAAATTGACGGCAAATACACTGATTTTATATGGAAGAAAATCAAATTTTGGTCAGTTTATTATCAACTACCCCAAATTTTTTGTTTTGTATTTATTGATATTTGTTAATGTATAATTAATTCGCAAAAACATTTTGAAATCATGGTCGCAAAGGACTCTAAGGTACAGACCATTACTTTTTAACCGGCACGATTACCGCACTAATGCTAGGTACCTGGATAACACAGGTGCAAACGTTTCTGTCCTGTCGGATGGTTACTCCAATCCTACACAACCTGAGTAACTGACGACAGTATCTATCAACGTTCAGCCCTACTTTTGCCTCGACAGCTATATTGGGTATCGACTCCCTACAACACTATGAACCGCCAGTCGATTTACATGGGCTGCAGTCAATCGATACTTAGTTGAAGATTAAATTCAAAGGTCTCACATCTCAAGCAGATGCGTACTAAATCACTGGTGTAGGTCATTTCCATTAAAACATATTTCATGCTTACTCGGTAAATTTTCCCAGCTAACTAAACCTGTCTAAGAGATTCCATCGATGACTAATCGGGTGGTACACCAAATCGTCACCCGAAGACCCCTAGTCACGGCGGAACCTCGCGAGCTGGCACTGGATAAATTAGATTTTGCTAGGCACGAGTTTGGTGACTTAACAGTCCTTGGTCCACCTCTGTCCACATGGTTTGAAAGAAAGTTGGCGTTATTTGGAGGCCGTGTGGTGTTTACAGAGTATTGAATGTAGCCATCTGTCTTGATAGCTACCCCACTTCCTACATACACAACACCACGATATCGCGTCATCAGTGAAGGGCGCTTAATACTGTCATTCGAACGTCATGCTGTCAACGGTTAGTGTACTTGGTCCATATTCTGGTTCCGACTACGTCTGGCGTATGTAAGATCTCGAACCTGGTTATCACGATCACTTCTGGTTTCCCGCCTTAGCTTGGTTTCGTCCTACGTCCGCAATGTTTTCTCGTCCAAGCTTTTTCGAATGCCATCTCCAGGTTGTGGATACAAACTACTCTGGCGTGCCATGCCAAATCGAGCAGTAAACTTGACCCGTTACTCATGGTTCCGTTGTATGTAAAAGACCTTCTGTTTTAGCCTGAGCAATATGGATCGCTCGCTGTTCGCAAAAAACCTTGCCTCCTAAATTCGCACGCTTGCTGATCAGTCCCATGAACGAAGCCACTAGGTTTCGAAAGCGTTCACCGTTTCTAGCGGGGCCGCTGTACTGATTTCACTGGTATAAAGAAACCAAGATTGGTAACGTAGAAATATTCATTATTATAACCAATTTTACTAGCGAACGTCTTCCTGAATATTTTTTATGCGTATTTTTGTACAGAACTCTCCTCCTTCAAGATCGCCATCTTAGTATTTCTGCTCTGTACCCTCGCCTAATTGTCTGACACATTCCGAAATTCTTTTGATACCGAGAAATTGACGGCAAATATATTTATTTCATTTGGACTCTCCCGTCTTCGGTTTTCTGATATAAGATCTGGGATAACTCTCGGGACCCGAAATTGATTGGTTTTTAGACGTGTTAATAGTCTTCCGACTCGAACACCTACAGTCTGTATTTTGAAATAATTTATTACAAGTCAAAGATAGACGCTACACAGATTAAATTAATTTGATCTTATCAAATAAAACTTTCCTCATTCATTATGTGTTCAGATTAAATATTGGAGCTTTGATCGTCACATTTACCATACGCTGATTTTTGTCTTGGGTTGGGACTAATAAGGTTTAAACGAGGTAGATAGCCAAATTTTATTTAGTTAGTGGGTCACGACATAGTCGTTAATGAGAAAAAACATAATCAGCTGAGTCTTGAAAGTCCACAAACGTAAAGACTGCAAGTGGGTAAATCTAGAGGTATCTTGTCTTGTGGAGGAACCATTCAGAATCATAAAGGTCATACAATTAGAATTTGCCGATCGTTGACTGACAGCCCCCTAAAAAGGAAACCTAGTCTCTGTCGATCTCTTTAACCCACAAAATAATGGTACCCGCCGTGACTACAAGCAAATCCTGGGTCGGTTCCAAGAACGACGAAACTTCGGTGGTATAAGATAACTGAGCTAGAGCAATGTGCTGTGAAAGAATTCTGAAGTTCAGAGAGCATCTGAATGACTGTTGTGTACAGGACATTTTATATGTCCATCCCTTCGTCACTCATTTCCTATGTTCAAAAACTATTCTCTTCTCTTCTTTATTTTTGCTGTATCAAGACCGAAACATAGTTTTATGTGTGCATATACATATTTTTTACTAAAATAAAACAGATCGAAGTACTCTTAGATGCTAATATATGTGTTTGTTATTTCCCTCGCCGTCGCACGGCATATACAGTCATATTTATCAATCTTTTATTGACACACGAACTCAGGCTTAGCCACACTTGTGGGTGCTTACACGATAGTTGTATCTTATATCTTAATTTCATGAATTCCTATATTATCCTTTCTTTTACATACATAAATTTTTTTTCGCAAACATAAACTCTTTTGTCTCTTTGTTTGCAGGGGAACAGCTACCACAGAACCACACCATTTTTTCATGATACTAGCTTTGATGATTAGTTGTCGAAATTATTTGATAACAGTATCTACCACTTTTCATATTTGTCATGATTCGATCACTGTGTTGACTACGGTACACTTCATAGTGCGTATGTATTCCTGTTCGCTTATTACATGTGTAGTCAAATATTATATGGTTACAAATACTCACTCATGATTCAGCTTACTGAAGTTGGCTCACTTGCCTTCTCCAATTCGCTTCGCTTAGCTTGTACACTAATCTTTCTCATATCCATCTGCCTAAATGAATGCATGAAATAAATTCATCCGCAAAACCGTATTTGGCTTCTTATTGCTATCATTTCACAAAAGAGGTTTACATCACTATGACGTATGGAAATGAAAAAGAAGATTTGTGTCATCACGACTCATTAATGGAGAAAAGATGACCGGACGCAGTTGGACCAAGCCAGCTGTCAGGTAGGCCTATACCAAGGAACACACACATTACCTCTTGGCTGGTCACGTCTTCCGTATACACTACACTAGGAGGGGGATCGCATGTGGTTGCAACTTAATGACCAAATTATATAGTTCTTTAAGTCTACAGTATTATGCTGACCTTACAAGTTTGATTGTTCACATGTTAGCTGAAGACGCTCGGTCAAGTATCTGCACCAGGCTACGATTGAGTACACCGTGCTTCGCATTCCCTACATCAACTAGGTAGCTTGGTTAACCCGCCTTTCGACACCCTGTCCATCTTCAAATATGCCTTTGATCTCCTTCACCCCTTACTGCCATGTATGGGTTTTGGGTAGTTTCCATTGGAGAGGTGCTGCCAGGCCGTTAATGTCCGCGGTGACCTTAAAACTTCCTTATAGACAGCACGCTACGCTTTAAATAATTTTTAAGCGACAGGAAAAATGCTGCCAACCCTTTTCAATTTAATAACTTTACATCAGTATTCCTCCAATGACAAGTTTTCAAGGTTATCGAATACTATTAGTATTTTGATGATTATTATTCTGTGATTCAGATGGCGTAGGATTTCAGGTGTTGCAGTTATAAAAGATATGATTGGTGAACGGTGAGGATTCTCCTTGATATGATAACGGAATGGTGACTCAAGTAGCCAACGGAATCCGTTTGCCGGTCAGCCGTTTCTGAGCAGTGTCCGTTTGATGCGATCTTAGCTTTTAAAAGCTTTTTAAAAGCTGAGTTCATGAGTTGCAGGCGGGTGACTGAAAACAAGAGTTTCTACATTGCTTACTAACAGGCGTTCCGCAACATAATTAAGTATTCAAAAAATGTTGATTCAACCCTCGAAAAGGGTGGCTTAAACTCATCAATTTGATAAGTGATTGTTTGCAAGTAATCCAGTCAGTTTAATAAGATAATTGATTTATCGCTTTGAAAGAGACAAAATTTCAGATTCCTTTTGCTGGATGAACCTTAGGTTTTTCTGAAATAACATGTGATTGAGTGGTTTCGGGATCAGTATACTTCAACGAAATAACTGAGCACTGCATCCTACTACATATAGCCCCACTTCATGATGCCGTAAAATTCCTGGTAGTACTCAGTCCATCCCTGAACCGCTGATTTTATCGATTTACATAAATCAGGTCTGGAACAGAATGACGTAATTAAAAACGAAATCAAAAACAGTCAATTTCAAAGATGTAAGTGAACAGTAAATCGCTTTTAGACCTGGGTATGACAAGTGATTTGTAATATGTCGCGTTCGACTGAATGGGAGGATTTGAAAGAAAAGTGATTTGTTTTAAGTGATATGAGGCAAGGATATCTTCCTAATGGGATTATATTCAAGTTATACGGGTCACCTATAAGTCCTATGGAACTCAAAGTTAGTTAAGGGTTCCAGGTGTCTACAAAGATTTCTGCGGATTGTTTTCTAGATGTTATCTGAATGATCGATATGCCGTCGATTCTTCGCATTGCTGTTGAAAATTTCTTTGCCTGTATAAGAATTAACTAATCATCCACGAAGTCTCTTTTGCGAATAAAATGGTCATGCCCGAAGGATGGTGGGACATTTCACGTTCCGTTGACAAATCTTTGGTATTTGGTTGTTTGATAGTGGTGCTGCTGAGATATTAATTTCAGTTACATTATATCTAATCCAAGAGCACGAGTTATGAGCTTAAATTTAAAAAAGTTATAAAAAATGCAGACAACTTCTGATAGTTTTGACACGAATTTTATTACTGCCACTCATGCCCCATGTAGTACTAACGTCCGGAAACCGGTTATTTTGTTCCCTGGTTGAGGTCCTGAGAGTTGATTCTAGAGTCTATGTATTCTACTGTTTTATCCTACATATACAGTGCGCTGTAAAAAAGGCTGGATACACATATTAAGATCATCATTCATATAAATAGAGGTAAATTTGAAAGCTTTTATCGTACAGAACCACTCACATTAAAAAATTTCTGAAAATGATGTGATCAATGATGACGTAGTGTGTATTACTATGCCTAGCCACAGGGCTTGTCCCACCCTATGGAAAAATTAATCAATCCACTCGCTCGAGTTATGACCTCATCTTGCAAACGTGTTTATCATCCTCCTATATCTTGTCTGTTTTCACTTACGTACGTATGTGCATAGAATATTCGACTGTTAGTCCGAAATGGAGTCAGATCGCAGGCTAATCATGTGGTGAGCTCTATTGCAAATTTAACACAGCCACTAAAACACAGAAACTAATTTCAACTCTGAAAACTAACATTCACATCACAGATGTGTGCATACGTTTTCATATTCTAAGCTTCAGCCTAAGGACATTGTGAAAAATCTCACTTTTTAATTTTCATAGAGTAATTATGGATGAGAAGCAGCTGTACTTCATAAATGAAAACGATAATCAAGTTGAAATTCGGACCGACTGAGAGTAGATCAGAATGGATTCCACTTTTTGGTGATCTGCCTTTTACAAAACAAAAACCTGGAAATGAAAATATGGTTGTTACGTTTATTGTAACTTTTTTTCAATAAAATGTACTGTTTATCGCTGTTTTTCTTCTTCAAATGTGTGGTAAAGTGAGCAAGCCTGTTTCAACTGACCTTTCTATTTGTGAATAAATTGTCTTAAGATAAAGTAACAAAGTTCACAATTATCGTCCTTGAGCAATTGTCTATTGGACAGGTGAGTATTTTTCAAACAATATTGTAACCTGAGGTATCGTGCTCTTCTGATATTTTAGATCTGTGTACTGATGAAACGCTTCCTATTAGATGATTATTAGTTGCTTCATCATAATCATATTATGGTAGTTTCATTACCAAAGTCTAACTTCGAAGTAATTTAGTATCCTAACAAATTAAAAGTAGCTAAGTTTCTGCTGTGAATTTCATTACTGTTGTCCGCCTAGGAATTGCTGATCTTGGTTTCTTGAGCTAACTGACTAATTGTGCGTTTATACTAGTTGTTTCCAAAGCTAGTATATTTTCCCAAGCTGTGTTTATTTTCTCGTCTTCCACATTTCATGAGAAACTCCTGAACATTAAGGGCAGTTTTCAGAGTGGACTTCACTGTACTGGCATCTTCCACTTTTTAGTACTCCTGTCTATACGAACCTGACCATCATTACTCATATTTCGGTCATATTTGTATTTCTGATTGCCGTCATACACAAATACTCTTTCTTCTTTTAGTGCTCACCATCAAATTCATAGTAGCAATTTGTGATATATCTTTTTCGAATACTCCTACTGCTTAGTGCACAAATCTTTTCCTTCATAAATTCATCCCTTATCTGCAAGTAGATTTGTCGTAGTTTAATTCTGGTCAGTTGTTTGCTATTGCTTTTCAGGATATTCAGTGACTAAATTATACTAAAGAAATATCACATAAGCTATTAGATCAGTACACTGTTTCATTTACTGTAGGTCTTCGTCTTTCTTCATTTTGAGGATTAAGAATTCATAAACAAATTCCATAATTTTTATAGCTTTATCTATATAAAACATTTTGTTGCCTTAAGACTTTTAGTCTTCAATTTTTTATTTATTCCAATTCCTATTAATTTTTGGTAGACATTACAATTATGGACGCAAACAGTGAAAAGACCTATTCTCCCATTGATTGTATTTCTTACATTAAGAAGATCTTTTCAGATATCCCTTTATCAGAGTTGGATGATGATTCGCTAATCAATATTTTACTGGAACGGTATGTTCATTCACTACCTATACTTTACATCCAGATCTGTTTCCGTCTTACAGATAATCGACTATGCTATGACGTATTTTGTTGCGGTGAATTTTATAGGCGGTTTGGTTGATGAGTTTAATGAATTTGATGGATGCTACCAGTTGGCGTTAGAAGATTTGTGCTGTGAAGGCGAACATCCTTTCAGACTTACTAAGTCACTTAGTTTATTTTGGCTGTGTAAACGCTTATGCCGGAAAATGTCTACAGTTTCTCAAACTCTTGTATATAAAATGTGTTTGCTAATCATGCTTTTGTTTCAGTCATTCCTTTATTATTTAAACTACTTGAAATGCGTTTATTTGCATCAGTACCTAATTGGTGATGAAAGGTCACCCAAACTAAAAAGTGAATTTCAAGATATTACCAATGTCTGTACGTGACTCGGTTATTTAATACAGCCACTTTGTAGATTCATTTTCATACAAAACTTGATGCGAATCGCTATGAATGATGGAGCAGGATTCGAATGTCAACGTAACCGATAAAGAATTAAACTAATGATGAGCAATCATAGTTACTGAGTGCTGTTTTTTAGATTTTCCTAGTGGAAAAAAAGAAAAAAGCGACAAGCAGATATAAAAACCTTCGCTGTATCCAGGAAATGCGAGCGAATCAAGAGGATAGAGATATTATTAAGTGATACAATTGATGTGTACACAATAAGTTAATTAACTGGTAAAACGAATGACAACATGTTAAATGTATAGACAAAAAGAATACCATAGGTTGGTCCGAATGAAGGGATACTAAACGCACCATATTCCAGGAGGAGAAGAAGTTAGGCGATAAATGACCTTGTCCGCAGAGAGGAACGGAGATTACAGGTTAGCAGAATAAGAAGTTCGAAGAAATAGCACAGCGGAGACGGGCAAAACGTCTATTAAGCATATAAATCTAGCAATTGGCCGTACAGTATAAATGTTTAATTAGTGTAAAACCGAAATTAAGGATAATCGATTCGCGTTCAATACATAATTTATCTTCGTGTAGGGTAGATTGAATTGTGACTTCTCACAAAATAGGTGTCCTAGTTTGTAAAAAGAGTGGACTACAACTAACAAATAGGGAATTTTGAGGTGCTAAATTTATACTAAGAAGCAAGACTTTATCATTTGTTATTGGTGGTAGAGGGATACATTTTTATAAAAGAATAAGTATTTATGTACACGTGGCGGTTAAAGTGTGACAACTTCATCGTTCGTACACTACCCACATGAAGTAAGCAGATTTACAACAGAGCAACAGTGAGTTAGCATGAACATCATACTGTTAATCCATAAGCTGTGTTAGCACCGAAGAAGATATACTGTGAAAATGAAAACGAAAAAGCAGTTTCTTCGTGTAGGATATCCGCTCATGTGGCCAACGAAAAAACAGCTGTCATAGAAGAAGTTTTAACCTCTGAACATAAGTTACATGTTCGGAAAGAACTGAGCGTGAAAGCATGTGATCTCAAACATAAGAGGTGAAAGAATTTTTTGACTGTATTGTTCAATCAGAATCTTTTATCAACTGAAAGCTATCATTCTTAAAAAAAAAGGAGTTTATGAGTGCTCTCAGTTATAAACGAACTAGTCGCAATCAATTTTCTGAAAGTATCTCGCCAGTAGACGTACTTTCTTTCCAGAATGGCATTCTGATTAGGGACCTCGAGTACGAGAGAGTAAAATATGAGCTCGATTGATGTAGAATACGATAGATAGAGTAATATGCACAAATGATGTAGTTGCAGTTATGTAGTAAGTAAATTTGTTTATGTGGGTCAGAAAATGAAGGACAAGAAGGTAACCGGGGGATTGAGTGTTAGTAATTTTTAACCGGAAAAACCATAAAGCAGATACTAGTCATTTTATAAATGCACGCATTTAAATTTATGACTTACTGCTCGAGGCTATAAACACAGTGATAGCACTTGGGAGAATCTCTCTCGAACCACACAACAACGGAAAGGATAATGTCAATGCGACACACTTACTAGGAGCGTACTACCCACGTAGGAAGCTCACAGTAATGATGTTGTTATAACTGCTGATGGAGTACACAGGTGTCAGGATAAGATGGTGAGGAAGCTGGAATTTAAGAAAAGCTACTAGAGTAAGGATATGGTAAAGGCAAGTTCACACAATGTACCGGATTTAAAAGGTCTGTTTGAACGAAGTTAAACCAGAAAAAGGTTAAATGTGAAGATGACATAGTAATGAGAAAATACAATCGTAGTAGCATGAAGGCACAATTAGCTTTCGAAGAGTGGCAGCAAAAGAAGACGATTAAGGAAAGAGCATCTGGTAGAAAGGTTGAAGGAATCCGTAAACATGTGGTAGATGGCTGCATATATCGTGTCAGGGAAAATGAAACGTGGTAAACGTAGTTCGTTTAGAAAAAGTCATGAGGAGCATAACTAAACGGCTACACAAATAAGGATCGTGTTGACAATGAAATTCATATGAATGATCATAATACATGTAAAATGACTACATATCTACCAGAACTAGTTTGAGAATAAACATGCCTCTCAGTACTCTATCGACAAGACAAATTGTGTTCGAGTAACTTCATTACATATACAGTGGTAGATTCTGTAGGCAAATAGGTCTACGAAGAAGCTGCTTTTCGGTTCATTTCAGAATCTGGGTAAACGCTCGGATAACAGTATGTGTGTATGACTAACCAGCTGTTGCATGCTGTTTAAATCGTGTACTCGTGGGTAGTGTGACGACGATAGTCAATAACCGAGTGGTAGCACTAAATTTTATAAAAATATAAATCTTACCACAAAATAACAAAATGAAAGACTGCTTCTGTATTTGAAAGAACACTTTGTTTAATATGAAGTCACTAATATGACACTATTGAAGAGATCATCATCACACTGAGAAATTATCTGAACGGAATCGAACTTAAGGTAAAAATAAAATTACCTTAGGCACAATGGATAGCTAAAGGACGTTGTTGGGCCGTGTCTTATGACATTTCGAATCTATTCTCTGCTACAACGCGTGACCGATAGAGATTTGGCAACTTCTTTCTCCTGGAATCTGTGGCGTTTACCTAGGACAAACCTATTGCTTTTTTAAATACAATGTAACGTGTTTACCTTAAATTGTACATCAATATTTAAATACTTAGCGCATCTGGAAGCGAAGGTTTTTGAGGCCTCATATTCATAGTAAAAACGCTCAGATGATGGAGGCTTATTCATTAAATGCCTGAATAATGACGTCCTCATCAGAGTCAGTAGAATCAAGATATTCCTC